AAATCAAGAATGAGAGAATGAGACTGGAGAGCAGTCTTTTCTTCTCCGAATTCAAGATCGTCCAACGTTCTTACTGGTTACGATTTACGCAGCCAGCTATACGGCCTAACGGTTCGCCCTTGCATGCTCGAATTCACGTCTCCGCACTGCGCGCATTCGCATGCGTGAATGTTGAATTCTCCCGCCGCCACCGTCTTCCGGACTCGAGTTCGCCGCAGTGTATACGTCGGCTATGTTGTCTTTTCCTAACCCGACCATCGCCGGAGGCGTGTCGCCGCAGGCGGGTTCCTTATCCGTCGGCGCCTTGCTGGAGGCGTACATCCAGTCGGCGCGAATTACGCCGGCGCGTATTTGTACCGCTTGTTTTGTTCGTTCTGCCTCGTCCATTGCTGACGGCGCATATCCCGCCGGCGCAATTCATGCCAGCGCATCCGCCTATCAGCGCCACGTCGGAGGCGTACATCCGGCCGGCGCTTTTCTTCCGTTTCGCAGCCGCCACAGGCGCTTCTGACTCTGAGTTGATTTCCTCCCATGAGCGCGTGATTCCGCCGAAGGCGCATCGCCGAAGGCGTACGGGAGTCCTTTCCGACTGTGAACCCTAGCGCGAACGGCGCATGTCCGGCTACGAGTTTTCCGACGCTCATAACTTCTTCGTCCCTGATCCATCTCCGACGCTCTTGGACTCGTTAGGACGAGCGTCCCGAGCTCTTTTCGATGCAACTTCAATCAATTGGAACTACCGTGTATTCCGATCTTTATGAAGGTTTCCCTTTCCGCGCTAGCGGCGCATCGCCGAAGGCGCACTCATGGTCGGAAGCTTTCAGAGGCCCGTGCCGTTCTTCTGACGTTTTTAGCAACATCTCCTCCGGAGGTGTCTGTGCCGGAAGCGTAGCTTCCTTAAACGCTGGAAGCGCGTGAGTAGAGACAACTAAGAAAAGGAGCTTTTGCCGAAGGCGCCGAAGACATTTGGCGCTGGTACATCCGACTTCGCGATTCTTCTTGACCTCGTGACGATCTCCTCAATCCACTCTATTTAACGTACCCTTTTCTAACTACAGACACTGCTTCGGTACTAGTTTTCTAAAATTGTTTAAATTCTGCAAAAAAAACAAAAAGTGTGTTACCACAGCCGGATTCCTCTAGAAGTTTTTCCACGGCTAGTGCCTCGTCCCAATCTAACCCGGAATCTTTTTCTTCTACCACAACAATGTTTACCAGATTCTCTTTTACTTGAGGCTGCACTGTCACCTCTTGCTTCTGATCACGTTCCTCGGTGCTAACGACCTCCACTGTCTGGATTTCTTGTTTATCACTGTCGTCCGCTTTTCCTCCAAGCGGCATTTCTTCTTCACGCGTCAACACTTCACTGTGTACAAGGATTGCTTACAAAGTATCTATAAACTAAATCTGAAGTGAAAATTGAAAACTGTTTAACTATAAAACTATTAAAAGGGTTTAATAGTTTCAAAGAACTTGGCATAAACAAATTCACTTTAACTAGTGAAATCGAAATTTTCTATTGCAAACTTAGCACTGCTGTATTTTATCACTAGAAACTGATACGATAAAATAAAAGGTGGTTATATGAGTAAGGATGCCAAATCTAAGTTTTCTGTCTATATAGATTGGTCAATAGCAACTGTTTTTGATGGAATACAGCCAGCTGCGTTAGGGATACACATACAATGTATACCTGATCGCTCATATGTACATTGTGGTTGGAACAGTTGCAACCGAGAACAAGGAACGAAGACAAGAATGGTAATAACCTACTGCAGATGTATCGACCTATGTAGAATTCGTAAGAGAATTAGCATCTCTTAGAGTTTTAGACGCTTTTGCAACAGTCGGTGAAATTCAACGACGACGAACTCCTTGTTGTCTCGTTGAAATTAGTCTCGGTCTGTCTAAACCTGCTAAGTACTCGGCCAAATAGAGGTACTGAGAAGCAAGGAACTTTTGGTCAACGGTTCGAACGTGGTTTCTGCAATTCCTATTCAGCTTGAAGTTATAGGCAAAACGATGATGCATTCCGCATCTTGCTAGATGGAGATTTGACCTGCTGTCCACTGCAGATCAATCGAAATGCATGAACTGTGCATTGCTTATGCCATCGTGCATATAGACAACCTCCGGATTCAAATACCATACTAGTAATTCCTGATTCGATCCTCGTCGATCAATTTCCACTACTTTACCGACACTGCCAACCACTCTAGCCCAATAAGGTGGAACTCAGGTGAGGGCCCAAACCAATATGTATAGACAGTCGAACTCGAATCCCTGAGCCATGAGCTAAATTGGACCGACTAGGTCGGATCACCACAATCAGAAAGCAATGCTTCAAGAATGAGGAGTACGAAACTTAGTATCTCAGTAGGGCCTACTACAAACCTGTGACTGAAAAAGCAAGGTACTTTCCAGTAAGATATAAGGAACAAAGTCGACCTTCAATGGCTATGACATATTCCGGAATATAGTGCACAGTTCCACTTTTCGGCGCAATATGTCACAGTGTCAAACGAGTAAGCTAAGAATCGGTATCGACGTCCACAGTACTAACTAGTGCCACGATGATGCATTCCGCAATGCCGAGCAGTGGCTCGCATCAAGCGCAGACCCTACACTATCCATATACAACTGAAGTCCGATCTCCGAATCTTTTCGGCCCTCTGCATGCTCCGTATGGCTGACATGTTTAGCTGGAGTGGTCGTAGATGTGGCAGCCTCTACAACAGTCGTCGCTATGCTTCAACAAGTCGCCCTGAGTATTGTTACGCCCTTGCGTGCATGTCCTTGTCCCAATTGCGACCCCCGTCGCTACGGCCATTCGGTCAAAAGAAGCAGCGGCTGCAGCTCCCCCGACTTCTCAACTAGCAGCAGTCTTGCTAAAAGAGCGCACTCCCGCTGCTAAAGTTGGTTCTCAGCGTTTTCTTGGAAACTCCATGTGTCTCGCTCGAGAAGAGTAAAGTGTACTCAAGACTCAAAAACGTCGACTTTTGCCTCCCCTTCCATCACGCACTTCGCCTCGGCTCTTCTCATCCACAATGGCACTCGTTCTCTCTTCCTGTACGATGTCTGCTGGTCAAAAATGCGCTCCCCGGACCTGTATTCGGGATCAGGTTCCTCACCGCCACAACAAGTTCGAGCTCCAACGCAATTGCGCAGTCGACATGTAAATCCTTCACGCAAGCAATCCCTCGCCGCCTTGTACAACTCCTCGATTCTTGCACTTTCCTTCGATCTCGTTCGGAGACACGGGTCCTCTTCAGCGGGCCAGAGCCCCGTCGCACAGCACCGCAGATTGTCAAGCAGAAACCTCTTCGTATTCACCACCACGCTCACGACGATTCTAATTCACTCGAATCTCATGATACTTTCCAGAACCTCCTCTATACAGACCGTAGAAGCTTTGAATCTCCAGGTCTCTCAGACTTTTGACGAAATCAAACCGGAGATTCGACGAATACCAGAATCGACTTCTGACAGAATATTTTCGACTTGGAAATACCGTCACAAAATCGGCACCTATCCGTACAGGACAGAACCGATTCCTGAAACGATGACACTAACCGCAAAAATACCACAAAAAGTAGTTCTTCGAGTGAAATAAACGGGAGATTCCCCACTGGAATTCCCGTCGGTCAATTACCCTACTAGCAACAAACCGTCACCGTCACAAACATGAGTCAAGCCCAACCCACTCCACACTCGGAGAATCTAGGTCGACGCAAAAGGGAAAGTCGCTCTACGCTCCCGACGCTTCCAGGCTCGACTCGAAGAACTAACGTTCTTCGAGCCATCCCCGACTGTATACTCCTCGTGACCCGAAACCTAACTTCACGTCTAAAAATAGTAAGTGTCTAAACTGCGTGAACCGACTCGTAACTACATGACAGACATCCTGCAATCAAGGATATATAATTTTTCCAAAAAGTAATTATATACCTAATGAAAAGATAAATTTACGTGGGTATACACAATTACTTTTGTATATCGTTTGTATTTTTATTGTCATAAAGTCCTTCTAATTTTCCACATATCTATAGATGAGTTCAGATTAGCTATTCAAGAATAAGTTAAAGAATAAGACAAAGAAATTATGACAAGATTTTAAGGATTATATATAATGGATCTATCCATATTCAGAACAATTTGAGTAAATGGACAGCGATATTTAAAAGTGTTAGTTTAGTCTTCAACATAAGCATAAATAGAACAAAAATAAAATTAATTTTTTACATGATATTGGAAGTAATATGTAAATGAATATAATCTGAAACTAACAATGGAAGGAGCCGTTATGAAGCTATAGTTAGGATTTCACATTTAAGAGAAAACATTAACATCTTACACGCTTCTTTCAATCGTGAACACTTACACTTACATCAGGAAGCAAGAGCTGAGCTTTGGAATTTCTCTCCCTCGCCCTCAAGTGCTTCATTATCTTGCAAACCGAGGGTTCCTTACCAACAAAATTCGAGCGAGCAGACTCATCATTTTAACCACCTGTTCGGCCGAACAGTTGTTAATTTACCTTAGTTAATTTCGACGGCGACCTGCGACATCCAGTGATCTCCGTCAGGTGTAGCGGAATGAATGGGTAGACCGAAGTGGAGTGAACCGGTCGACGTCACAAGCGTGGTCTACGGCCAAAGCTGACGGTGTAGATGCGGTGGACGTACGGAGTCACAACCTCAAAAGGCATGCACCAGGGCACCCTACTTGATATTTTTCCATATAAGGCATGACCGTATGTATAAAAAAATATTATACGTATCTTCCCGAGTTTTTGAGCCGTTCTACATCTAAATCTAAGAGTGATATATTTTAAATAACATACAATTTTTATACTTAAATGTATATATTTTTATACGGGCATGGGGCATGCCTTTTGACTCTGAAATGGGAATGGGCATGCCTCAACAAATTTTGCTGTGCCTCCAATCCTAGGTGGACGGCATTAGTCCGTCGCCGGTGTGAAGAATTCTTGATGTCCTGATCCGGTCCGCAAGTCAAGTGGGAGTGGTCCTGGAGAGCAGCTCGAGGGAGTATCAGAATTTGAGACCTCACAGAATGATGTTTGATTTCTTCTGGGCACGAGCAAAGTTCCATGGCTCGGTCTGATGGAGTTCCAACAAATTGTCCAGTACAGATAGCGAGCAGATCACGAGCTGATCCTGCGATTTTGAAACTGTCACAGCGGGCGGATATGGTATCACACACGTGGGGCTCCATTTTTCTTCTATTACGCTGGGGCCTTCAGATTACGGGCTGGATTTCTGGAGCACATACATTTCGTCGGATTTGATGTGATGCAATGCAATGCAATCATTGCGGTGGAAAGTGTTGAATCAAACTCATCTTGAACTTATAGATTGAACTTATAGATAGAAAGATATACGAAGGCTCCAAGCTGCACCGCGATCCTTGTGTGCTGCCTTTTCAGATTACAAATTTCAGATTCCTTTGGGATAGCACTATATGGCATATAATTCCTGACGTCTGATATCTCAGATGAGCAGCACATGAATAGTCCCTGCTAGACATTTCATGATGCATGCTGGATTCTTATGGAATTCATCAGAAGAATAGCACTCAGCTTTACGAATCTCGCTGCCTCCTTGTGCGATAGGAAGAACGTTTGGCTCGTCGGATTTGCGAGCAATGTGGAGACAAATCAGTCCAAACATTGGAGCCACGTCTCCTCTCCTCGTGCTTCAGGCAAGGAAACGATGCAGCCGTCACGAGCGACGAGGTGCCTGACCATCTCCCATTTGAGGACGATGCAAAGGTGAGACTAGCATGTGCTGAAGATTCTCAATTCTTTCTGCAATATGCCATTTTGCTCTAGAGACAATTTCCTACAAGAAGTTATAAATTACTTATTATGGAACTCATCGAATTACGAGAATATTAGTTCAATTTAGAATATCTTCTATGACAGTGTATAAACATGTGAGATAAAGTTACATGCAAATGATACGGGAATAGAAATCTGGACTACTGTACTATCATTCTTTTAAACGCTCATTTTAAAGAAATTGTCAGGAGTACATAAATCATTTTCATTGACATATCCATATTTGGGAAGTTAGAAAAATTCAAAACGTTGAGGAACTGTTTTTGTCTAGTTTTTTGAAATTGCTAGTAAAGAATCAAATGTTGCATTCAAGAATTGATTTTCTATCAAAGTATCAAACGCAAGCTCCGAAATTTGATTTTGACCTTTGATATGATGAGTTAAAAGATAAATACTTATAGTCTAGAGATCAACAGCGGAAAAAATTTACATCGTCCATTACTTATGATTGTGTTAACCAATCTTTACAAGCTGTAAACATCTACTTCTTCGGAAAATTCCAGCGCAATCTCCATCTGGCTGTCGCTCTCAAGTAGTGCTCCGGTCGGGTTCGGGTCGGATTTGACCTTCGACCCGGACCCGACCCGAAAATACCGGGTCGGGTTCGGATCGACTCGGGTAAAACCCTAAAACTTGAACGATCTGAGCAGGAGCAGTGATTCAATTCAAACTTTCAAAGGTAATTTTTACGATCAAGGCCTGGCCCCATCTTGCGATTCAACTTCTCATTGATGACCGAGTCCAATCGCTCAGCAGGCATCTTTTACTGGGTCTGGGGAATCCAGGTCCGCCTCAAGTTGCCTGCGTCTGGAACGCGTTTCTTCCTCCAGTAGCCAATGCAGTCGATGTGTGAACGAATTAACATCATTGTCATCGTCCAGTTTCAGATTCTCAATCGCCGGAGGCTGCCCCGAAAACGGATTCAATCCTCTGCCATTTGACGGGCTCTGCAGCAGAGCCCGTCAGTGAATCGTTCCGCGGGGCTTGTCCAGAATGTACTAATCCAAGAGAGGCACGAAGTTTATTCTGGCGCCTCTCAACACGGATCGCAGTTTAGCCATAGCCAGCCGAGATTGGAAGCGATCTTTGGCTTTGAACGAGCGCTAGCGCAGCTCTACCAGAGGGTTCTGTTGGTCTTCGTCCAATCGGTAGCTGATAGATAGCTCCTGAAATCGTTTTTCAGCTCGGCGGGGCTTATTTTGTGATCGCGCTGAGCTCTATTTTTACTGTTGTTCTGTGAATGTTTGATAATCCGGCACAGGGTCATCTCGGCTCTCAAACACAGGATATCCGCGCATGCATTCACATATTTACACAGCAGTATGGTCGCTATAGTAGATTGTTCGACTGTTCCTAGACCAACCAGGAGACAGGCAAGCGGAGAGTCGATCAATCAAAGAGTGCCCATGCATCGAGCACCTGCAGATCTCAATGTTCGCGAGTTTTGTTGAATTGTGCATACGCGGCGCGAATGATCACGTAATGAAACGATGAGCGGAAAATGGGCTCCAGATCGGTTCCGAGGAAGCTGACATCGCGGAAAGATTCCTTGAGAGTGCTGAATCACCCGATCGCAGCCTCTAATCTCTCTGCTTTTTTTTCAAGAATAGGGTAATTTTCGGATTCGGGTCGGGTACAGCACTCTACCCGAACCCGATCCGAACTCGGGTTTTCGGGTTTTACCCGAACCCGATCGGAGCCCTTCTCTGAAGGGTATAAAGGATCCATGTTCGGACCCAATGATGCCATCTTCCAGCTCTCAGTCTGGCTCATTGGCTGAGAGGAAGAGGGCCAGTCTCCACGTTCGAGGCGATCCCCGAGGACCTGCAGCTCGGCGTGTGAGGAGAATGGTCTCTCGTGGTATTCTCACGGGACGGCCTTTGTTGCATCGAGCTACGTGCCGTGTCACCTGCACACCTCTACTCTCGTCACCTTCTCCCGATCCCTCTCGAGTGAAACTCCCGAGGCACTTGTGCATGGCGTGCGGTCTCACCGACATTGCATTCGGAAACGCCCACCCGTCCGGTCCTCGTTGGAATTCAAAAATCAACTTCGTGAAAGCCTCATCATCTAGAAACTACTCTTTCGGAGGCCAGATATTACGACCCCATGCGCAGTCACGATCGTCCTCGGGGTCGAGATGTCTTGCAACTATGCAACCCTCTGGCACCTTTCGAACCATCCAGAAAGTTGATCGACATCGACCCGTACATCGGCAACTGGTCGGTTGTGCAAACTCCGGAGAGAAGTTCCTAGATTTGAGAGTCACAGGACTAAACCCAGGCCTGAATTGCTGTCCCGAAGATGTATCGACATGTTGAACTGGACCGAAGACAAAAATCCTAGGTGGTTCATGATTTATGGGATCACTGTAGGTGATGCACAGCATCTTATCACAGACCTGATAAGCATAAAAATCTCGGCGTGGACTATCGAGTTACCAGTGAAGAAATTCTGGAAAATGAAAGAAAGAACATTATTCAAATAATATTAAATTTTTCATGTTTCCTAAGTTCGTGTACACTTTCTCTTCAATTCTGACGCTCTGATTCAATGCTGCATCATCCAATCAGAGACCTGATTAGTACGAAAAAGCCCGATGTGGAGGCTCGATCTACCACTGAGAATGTGCCCACGGAACATGAAATAACGGCAAAATTGGACACTGTTCGAACCCTAAATCTTGCTGTTAATTCTTATTACGTGGACACTCACTCTTCAATTAGAAGGCTCTGATACTATGATGCACAACATCCGATCAAAAACTTGATTGGCATGAAAATCTCGGCCTGGATTCTCGAGTTACCAGTGAGAAAGTGCCCAAGGAACCAGAAGGAATGAAAAATTGAACATTACTCAAATGATGCTCATTTTTTCATTTTCTTTTTGGGACTGTATACACTTTCTCTTCAATTCCAACGTTCTCATTCAATGCTGCACGTCATCCGATCAAAGACCTGACTAGCAAGAAAAAGCTCGTCGTGGGTTTTAGAGTTACCAGTGAGAAATTGCCAGATCTGGTATTTCCAGTCGCCGCGAGTTGATGGAGGATCGATCTTTCAACTCTACGCGATAAACGCCAAGCAGACCTGATGGTCATCGACCCTCTCGCACGCCACTCACTCATCTGTGGCGTCAGAAGTCCTCCGGGAATCTCCCACTCGCACACTGGCCATGTGCGGGGAATGGGCTGCTTTTCGACCATCCCCTCGGGAGTTGGTCAGGTGAAGCCTCTAATCTACATTATTATGGCATTATAGCTGCAGGAATAGTTAGACTTAAATAATAATACGTGAATAAAACTGAGTATCTCGAGCGTGAAGTAATATCTATAGTATGGACTATTTGGCTACACTACTGTAGGGATAGTCCTGGGAACGAGCTGACACCGGGAGTGGAAAATGCGGTTAATGGACAATTCGCCATTGATAACCCCGAGGTCGTACGACTTGTTCACGTGGCTCACTTTCAACCATATTTCCAAATCAGTCACCACAACTATGAATACGTCTGCATGAAGTAAATTGAGTGTTGGACTTTCGCTCGTATCTGGAGTCCTTTTCCTTGCAGAGCATCTCGGAGACCCATGTGATTCAAGGTGGAGCGGTTATTTGTACACTGAATGGAGTCTCTGGAATGTCCACAGTGCTGTATGAAAACCGTTTTCTCGACGTGACAACGAGACACGAGTCGAGATTAAATTCTATTGAACTCATCAGCGTCATAGCGCTGTACTTATACCCACATGGTGAATAATATTATTCTGAGAGCCGTACGCTGCATTCCAGAGGACCCCACATCAACATGGTCCAACGTACCGTTATGCTTTAGAGTTTGCTGGTGGAGCGCAGTTTGGCGAAGTTACGTGTTTCAAACCATTCAAATATCATTCTTAATCATCCATCCATGTCTTACTAGTGTTTTGTGCGATTCCGATTGACTTGTGCTTTTCCCGGACCCAGCACCTCCACAATACTCACCCTTGTCCTAAAATTGATAAAGCTATTACCTATTTCCTTGAAGACTGGACCTGAAAACCTCCTGGGCGATGAGGCCTTTGAAGTCGCCGGAATCCTACTGCGGTGAAGATTCCGAAGCTTCCAGGCTGAAATATTCAACTGAAGTCACAGTTTGTTACAAGTGTGTGTTCAACAAGAAAAGAGGGCGAGGGCGATTGCGTGATTGTGACGGACTCTACAATCAAGTCAATGTCATGTGCATTGTAACAAAGAATATTGTTGTGTGTTTGGTAAAGCACGTTGCACTAAGAGTCAATACCAACTATTATCTAGAATAAAACTTGTGTCATCATTGTGAGTGTAAGATATTTTTCATGTCTAACGTTGTGCGAGCATAAAGATTTGTTATTAATTTATCAAATTAAAGATTCAAAGTACCAATTGAATGCAATAATTGCGAACAACTACAATAATTCAGTGAATTCTCCTACAAGTTTACCTATGGATACTTGTAAAATCCAAGAACTTTAAGCGATGACAACTGTGAGAATAAACAACAAAGTAATCAAATAACATCATGTAGAAAAAATATGTCAAGTGATTTCTGACCAGAGCTGATTGTAATCTTTTCCATATAACTCATTTTAATATTTGGCTGCATTCCCACTTGAATGAGAGATGAAACGGTGAATTTATGAATGGGGTTTAAAGTGATTTTGTCATCAACATTTCATCTCTTCAGGGGTTATTCAATTTGAATGCAAAATGCATCTAGAGTTTTGATGTGTTTAGGTATGTTGATTTACACCTCAAAAAAATTACTTAGGGGGCTTTGAAAACCTTTTTGTCCCGAATTTAATTCGTAAAACATCTACCATTTGATATCATTAGAAAAATTATAGTATTAAAATATTCTTAAGTTGTATTAATCTAGATGATGCATCTAAATAAAACAACCTAAGAATCAAAGTGCCAAAAGTTGAAAAACAACTGAAACATCTGAAGAATCTTATAGTCAAAATCTCTGAAGCAATTAAGAAATATTATGAGAAACATAATACTTTCCCTTTTAATGAATAATGTCTTGTTTATCATTGTCAGCTAACATTTAGCATATGAAGTATTTTTCAAGTCATGTGTAAAACACAATTTCTCTTCATTTGCAAGCAAGTTCAAAAATTGTAACTTCTTCAGAAGATTCACCTTCTCCTTAGCCAGGATCATGCTGGTTCTAAACGACGCGATAAACAAGCAAGAGTGTTCTCAGCACGGACGAAACTCGATTTGAAGTGTTTGAAGCGTAGAGACATCCAAAATCTGGAACTAGAACACATGCTTGACAGTTTGAGTTAGAAGAACAATCATTCCAGCAGTTGAGAGCCTCGAGTACTGATATACCCTGTACACAGTTCTTCGATATGATAGTTAGTAAATTTCCAAACAGCTTATCAGTTTTTTCTGAACCTATAAGTTATTTACAATTATGTAGACAACTGTTCTGGGTCAAAAGTAGGAAAAAAAACGTAACATGCTTATTACACCAAGCTGACTACGCATGTGCCATTCAGCTGTCAGAATACATCCACTTGCTCGAATAGATCAAACTCCCAGATAAATGGATTAATAAAGAAGAAATTTGCATTTTCACGTATCAGTGTGACATCAGTGTGTCATGAGTATATCATCACACTGACGCATTCACCCACGTTTCCTCTTCGCTTGCACAACAAAGTCAAGATTTACTTTGAGCTTCTAACACCATGTTCCAATCACAGAGGATGAAGGCCTTCTCTCCCAGAGTCGTTTGCGATAGAAGTGAAGTCTTTTTGGCCACACGGTCTACGATTTAGCTTGGAACAAAAATCCTGGTCTTCTGTGTTCATTTTGATTCCCATCGCTTGTGCCGAGCTCGAGCAGCCTCCTGCTTCCACTTTGCACAATCTCCCTGCGTTCATCGTGATTGCTCATGATCCGCGTATCGGCACATCTCGGAGTGATATTTGTGCATAGTGCAAGTACTCAGCACGCACACGAGTGGTGACATTACACGTGAAGATCAGTTCATTTCGGGAGAGCCGGGCTTTCGTATCGAGGAGAGGGACTCCTGTAGGCCCTGTTACATTTCGCCCGCGAATGCCAACTAGCAAATGTTTCTTCCTTCGTGAGAGTGGAGGAGAGAAAGCAAGGTGCAGGTACGTCCATCGTCAGTCACGCTGCTGAACTTGCGACACGGGAAATGGACTCCGCAGACCAGGAACCGGAGCTTCCCCTTGCCATCCAGGACCTTGTACAGCGTCTGGAAGGAAAAGGCGAGCCTATAACGCGGCTTCCCAATTTTAACCGGCCAGAATTTCTGAAGTTCTTTCCGGAGCGTGCATCGCTCTCGACGATCACAGGGTGGCGAAGCCAAGTGCGCCTTCGAGTGCTGGAGGCAATCATCAGCTGTAACACCGTTGAGATTCTGGACGTGCATAATATTTGTGGGGGAGATGTATCCAGGTTGATGGCTAGCGAGTGGGACATAGTTTTGAGAGGATTCATGTATAGCACCGTTCTACGAAAGATAATCGTTGAATATCATTTAGGGGGTTCAGATGCGGAAGTGGAGACCTTGTGCTTACAGCTAGGAAGGATTCTGAATACCTCTAGCATAACAGAATTGAAAATATGGTGTTGCAGATTGAGTGCCAGATGTTGGTTGAATCTCGCCTCAGGACTACGAGGAAACTGCGATTACAAACTCCAGTCTTTAGATTTATTTGAAGCGTGGAATGACTCGAGTGCGGTGAAGCATGTGGCTGAGATGATCAACAGTGCTCCTCAATTAGAAACGCTGCGTTTAGGCGGCTATTATCAGGACATGGAGGACGAGGCCGTTGGAATCTTGTCCCAGGCTTTGATTCATAGCTCGTGTTTGAAAGAATTGAAGTTAGGATGTGCGGTGAAGTGGGGACCGGCCTTGTTGCTGAAAGCATTCACCGGAGATGAGGGAAACCGATCCATTGAACGGGTTAGGCTTAGGCTTATGGATAGACTCGGAGAATGTTTAAGGGAACTTCTTATTTCCAACCCATCATTGAAGGAAGTGGAGTTGTCCCACATCCAAATGCGTCCGAGGGAATGGCACCAGCTCGGCGAAGTCATACGTGACAATGCTATAGCGACCACTATACTTGTTAAGTTTGACTTGGAATATCATGACTGGAAGTCAGTAGAAGCTCTTGCTCGTTCTGTAAGCTCCGATGTCAAGGACCCAACAGTGGAGCTTGAACTCGATACTAAGAGGGAAGATGAAGTGATATTATCGTTGGACCTATTAGGTAGTGTACTGCGCGGAGAAATCAAATCTCTAAAATCTCTGAGTATATTGGCGGATGATAAAAAGATTATCACCTTCAGTATACTCCCGATGAATGGGAAAACTGGAGAAACTTTAGTCTATTCAGGACTGAAGTTTCTCCAATTGAATTTTCGAAGCACAGGTCTTTCGAAGGTAGTATGGGAGGAATTGGTTCGGTGCATGCGTGGGAACCACCTCACTCACTTGGATTTGTCTGAGTCCGAACTCGACGGGGAGGCGTTCAAGGACCTGATGGGGGTCCTGCAAGTGAACTTGGCTCTGCAAGAAATCGACGTCTCACAAACCTCATGGGCAATGGACGGAAAGGCCGCGCAGATTCAAGAGGCCCTCAACCAGAACCAGAAGCGGGCCGTCTACATGTCCATATTCAGAAAAGCCAACTTAGCATTTGGAGATGCAAAAGCTGGTAGACTCTTCTTGTGCGGCTCTCCTAGAGCAGGTAAGTTGCGTTGTGAATTCTCAGTTTTTCCCACCTTTCAGTTTACGCCACCTAGCAATCTATGGTTTTACTTTTCTAAAGCTAAGATTCACACAACAAATGCTATTTTGATCTAGACCTATTGATGTGTATACGGAAAGAAAAAAACTCACTTATGTAAACTATGAATTATATATCTTCATTTGTTTTGGTGATTTCTTCATTTTTTAATCAAATTATCTTCACATATTTAAAGTAATATCATGTCATATTGTTTCTAAAGATTATCTTATCGAAGCATATCTGAATATATTGTCAAATCAAATTGTATTTTTCTCTGATTCTTTTTTCCAATATGCAGGCAAGACTCAATTGCGTAAAACTCTGACGAGGATAAATCAAGGCAAAACCAGTCTATTCAGTAAATTGGAAGTTTTATGGAGGACGAAGGGCATTGAAGTGGAGTTATTGCAAAATGATGACAAGATGCAAATCTCAGTTTGGGATCTTGCAGGACAATGGATTTTTCGTACCCTTCAAAATGTGCTCTTCACTCAAACCAATAATTTCTGTGTTTTTCTTTTTTTGTATAACCCCTTCTGTGAGGAAACATGTTCAAACAAACCAGACTCTTGTTTCAGAACTGAGTTAGAAGAGTGGTTGAGTTTCATCACATCTAGCACTAAAGTCACTGGACGTGATCTTCCCCAGGTTTTTGTTGTGATTTCTCACAAGGATAAAGCCAGATTCAGTTCTTTGAGTTGGGCTCAGTCCATAGTGAAAGAACTGACCAAAAGATTTGCAAATTCTGTGGATCTCTGCCCTATTCCTGAGTATTTTCATGTGGATGCTCGGAAGAAGAAGCAAGTTATTCCTCTTTACAGCCACATTTTTGAAAATTTCAACAAGTTGTTGAGAGAAAAATCTCCTCAAGTTCCAGAATTGTGTTCTCATCTCACCTCCCTATTGGTTACAAACACCAAGAAGAACAAAAGTTGCCCTCTGTGGACATCTAAAAAGTTTCATAGTTTCTGTGCTCCCATCTTGACAAAATTCCTTCCACCATCTTTTGCTCACTCTGTTGATCATTCAAGGATAATGGACTCCATCATATCCTATCTGAATGACGTTGGATCCATCATTTACATCCCCAGTCTTGATTACATCATTGTCGATCCTAATTGGCTCACCAATACCTTCTTGGGTGAGCTGATAGCTCTAGGTCAACACTTTCAAGCTCAAGAGTTCGAGTCTTCAGATGGAAGGAGCTCATACACAAGCAAGGATGGATTTGTGAGTGAGAGTGTCTTTGCTAGATTGATAGAGGAGTTTCTGGGAAAACAACCACATGGACACAGAGGTGTGAACAGAGAGGAGCTTGAAAACATCCTTGTCAATTTAGATTTGTGTTTCAAGGTCGAAGATACTTCTCAGTATTTCATTCCTTCCTTCATCCCTGAGCATGCAAGCAAGCAAGAACAAAGAAATCAAGAAGGGGCGCACGTGGAGTCGATGTATTGGGAAAACAGGGGTGAGACTTCACAATTTGTCGGCATTCGGATTCAATGCCAAGATGGAAGAACAATGTCACTTACTGCTGCTTTTTTTCCACGCTTTCAGGTGAGATTGGATCATGATAGCATGTAGACTCTAGAAATATTGGATGACTCAATTTGTGATTGTAATTTGCTCATGATGAAAAAAAAGTTTTGCATTTATTTACTGTAACAAGTAATTCAAAGGTCCAACTCAATACTTACAAATTTTTTTATCATTGTAGATGTTCATGAGGCGCAAGTTGATATCCGAGATGCATGTTTCCGAAGAGAATGTGACTTGCTCTCGACATTATCTGCGACTTTTCCTTGACGGGCATCAAATATATATCGAGCACGTTCAAAGTGAAAAGTCTCACAAATACGTTGATGTTCTGATGTTATGCTCGAGGCAGAAGTCAAGGGAGGTGGCTACCAAATATGTGATGAAGCATATTGTCCAGGAGTTGATATCATTTTGCGCATCACCGAAAGGTTGTCCCGGAGTGACGTTAGTGCTTGGTGTGATTCAAACATTTTGCGTGGAGATGTTAATTCCGAGTCATCTCAGAGGAGTCATTCTGATCGAGAAGCTGAAATCGGACTTCGTTCGTAGCATCAATGACAAACTTGAGGAAATGTCGTTGGAAAGGTCGCACTTGGTGGAGAAGGAAGAGTTGTTCGACTATGAGCAGTGTTGGCCTCCTATTCAAAAGCACACATTCGGAATATCTGAACGAGCTAGGGATTTGTTGTGGGACAGCGATGTGGAAGCAATTGTGAATGAGATTCGACAGAATCGGGTTTAACAATTGGAGTTGTTGCAGGAAGGCCTAATTAGCGTGGAGAATGATTTGGCTCAGTCCAACCTTGAAGCTGAAAACATGGTTAGCGACTCTAATGTCCCTCACATGAAAGACTACAAACCATCTACATCCAAGTGCTTGAGTCGGGCCAGCACAAGTGTGGAAGATCGTTCGACCCAACTTGTTTTGTTCAAGATCGATCAACTAGAAGGAAAGCTAGTACAAAAGATTGATGGTTTGGATGAGAGATTGAGATCGGTCGAAAGCATTGTGCAGAGATTGGACATGAAGATGGGACAGATACTCTCTTTGCAGCAAGAACTGCAGTCAACGTTGAGTGACTTCATAGCCAAAGTGGACAGAATCATTCAGTATCCTTATTCGTTTCAGCAGGCCGGAACGCCCAAACGACCTTACGTTACGAGCGATGTTGGACTTTTCTGTAGGATGAATGCAGTTTTGCATTTTGGGACAACCGTTCGATTACACTTGATGTGTGAGTCCATGACTGGGTTTCACACTGTCAAAGATCAAGATGGGTTGAAGCTACGATTAGATTGGAAGAATTGCGGGTGGATTCAAAAAACTATTGAAATTTCATACAAAGTCATGTATTATGGTGCAAAGGCTGCATTGACTAAGACCGTGGGGTTGGGCCAAGCCATTCCGGACTGGGCAGATTTAGAATCGGATATTATTAAACTAGTTGGTATTAGCGTTGAAGATCATAGGGCACTTCTAAAAGGTGGAGAAAGCAAGGAGCTGCAAGAAGCATGGTTGAGGATTCAGCAAACTCTTGCGCCTCAGCTTCAAAATCGCTATTCCGAATGCTTCAAGTTGTATCAGGTGAAATACGTTAGTTTAGAAAAAGGTAGGCATGCGTGGGTGTGCGAGAAGTGCATGAATAAAGGCCTTCGATGTGGAGTTTTGACATGTTAGGATTTTAAAGAGCTTAGAATGCCACAAGCATATGTTGAGATCCTAATGCAATATACAACTCTGCAAAATCTTCTTTCCAGTTTTACAAGTAGAAGTCTTTTATAATCTTTGCCATGTCAATCCCACGGTTATGTTTCTGAAGATGATTAGTGTTCAGTTAAGCTATCAAGATGACTTTGTGAGGGTAGAGTGCTCGCATTGTCTTGTTGCAAGTCTAACCATGATGAAATCCCTTCACTTGTCACGTAGAGGCGGTCACCTTGAACTTCTATACATATCCCTGATTGATTCTTCTGTTGTTGCACGATGAACGTCCAACAAATGTATGATGGACCAGATTTCAAACTACGATGTGTTGTCTTTTCTCAGGTAGTATCCGTGTTTAAACATGAGAGCAATTGAAACTAAAGGCAATGTTTCTCCTAAATTTCATGCACAATGTCCGATCTGTGAAGCTCAATGATTCGTAGTTCATGTGAATATGCTTCTGGCGCTTCTTTGTATGTCCAGAAAATTTAACAAGATTCCTCAGGTGGCCTGAATCCCGTTAGATGCAGTCGAGCTGTGCTGGACGTGATCTCAGCACATTTTAAATTGCTAGCACGCTCAGAACTGTCACTTGTAAAAAAATGGTAGTTTTGTAGCACTAATGCTTTTGCAATTTGACTAGGTGTGGACTCTTAACGTCGAACACAAATATCGTTAACGCAGTTGTAAATAGTCTTTGAGATTAGAGACAATGACTATCATGGTCTTTGGTCATTGCTATTAATCACTAATCAATTCGATACCACAAGAAGTTATAATCTCTGAATATAGTCCAGAAAACTGCCTTTTAAATCCTCCACATCAAACTTAATCAAGTTAAGTGGAGGGAGCGAGTCCCACAGCTTCAGTGTGATTTACAATTAATTTGTCTCGAATGTTTGTATGCTCCAACGTCATGCAGTGTGTCATGGCTCGAGACGTTGGGTCGATTCGAGTGGAGACACGTTGAGTTTGAGTTAGAGTCGAGGAACATTGGATGGAGTCGACACCTTCCAGGGATATATTTGAGGCGAGCTCGAAGAACTGTCAGTTCTTCGAGTTGAGCCTTTCGCGTAGGGATATGTCAGTCCCGCTAGCTTCGACTCTGATTCTACCTGCGAGTAGTGAGTTTGGCTCGACTCTTTGTGTATTCGTGTTTCGACATTCTTTTACTCGAAGAACTGCCATATGATATAAATGCGGATTATAGTTTTCGTTTCCTTTTTGATCCTTTGGAGAAAATTTCTCGTCGCGTGTGACGGGATTATGGCGTGATTATGGCGCTGCGTTGGAGTTCTTGTTCGGCTCGGTCCCCAATCGTTTGAATTTTTTCAGACAGGCGCTGTGCGCTCTGTCGCAGGACGAGAACGTGAACCTCTGTGGAGGTTTGTTATTTCCTGTTCATGCGTTTCGTGGAAGGCGATTGATTGACTGACTGGTCGAGTGTCGCCCGCTTCGCTTTGTGGAACTTGCATGCGGTTGGGTTCGGAGAGCTGCGGCGGAAAGCGGGAGGAGGTTTGATTCGTCAAAGTTTCAATCTGGGACCTGGCAAATTCGTATTTTGCTGAGACATAGGCTGAATGACATTGAAGGTCATGAATGATGAAGGGCATGACTAGTTCACTGATGCACAGGTGGGAAATCGTTCCAGGGCTCATGCCACTGTGCCTCTCTTGTTCATGTAATTAACTTGGACTCGATCGCCGCCTCATGACGAGCCGCATGAAGTTCGACGCCCATTTTATTCCAAGACGTCGCGGGAGTGGAGCAATTCTTCGTGACTCTTTGCAGCCTCGGTCTGTCTGTCAAGCGAGAGACAGGCCGGCCACAAGTCCACGACGGTGACTTTAATATGAGTCCGCATTGATTGAGTTCATATTTGTGTCCGGTATCGATGATCCAATCTGCCCGACTCTGGAGTTATGGTGCAGTCGAATTTCTCCCACGATATACAGCTGTAATGCAATGTAATGCAAGCTCCAGCTATTTCCGCTGGCCGGTCGAAGAAGTTTATTAACAGTGGATTACAAGAATTGTGATTCACTCCCGTTACTCCCTTAGGGTCGACTGTGTCGAATCCGACGGAATTATCTGTCGAGGAGGACTCGTTTTTTTTCTTCCACCTCTGCCCGTCTCTACTTCATTGATTCTTCGATTTATTTGTGTGACGGTCATTCGTACGTTCACGTAACTTGCGTGGCGGATGTTGACATGTGCGGTGTCTCATAGTAAACCCACGAGCATCGTGCCGCTTGAGGAAAGAAGGTGATCTAAGTATCCGAATGTCAGAGAACGTGATCACCAGTCCTCACCACATTCATCTCAGCTGCACGTAGTCAGCCCAGGGCAGGGAGTGAGGGGAGCCGTATAAAAGGACGACATTCAATCTTTGAATTTGATCTCGAACGAAGAGGATCCTGTTTCGGGAAGATCCCGACTTTGTAAGCTTCTTCATACTCGAGGTTCTCAATTAACAGGGTTGAGTGATTGAGCAATCGCTTGTGAGGAGACTCTGTTGTCGACGCAAGAGTACCAAAGCGGAAGAAATCGCGAGTTCAGGAACAAGCATATGACGCTATCTGAACAACGGGTCGAACTGTAACACAGTCAGCTTACAACTAGAAGCCGAAGCTATTCTCCCGGTTCTGGGTTTGGTGAATATCAACACATAGAGAGGAATGCAGAATGTGAGCACGTCTTTGTGAGATTAGATGGTTTATGAGGCCCTTCTGTGAGTGAGAATCCTTGAACCAAGAATTGTTTCTGTGTTCTGAGTACGGTTTAAGCACCAGCGGAGTCAGCATTCGTCGACAATGGGTTCTCTTTTCCTGTTATTTCTTTATTTATTTATTACTGTTAGGTTCTTTTGGCAAGGTGAAGATTTGAGCGTAGAATAGAAGGTCATGTTTTGCTCCATCTTGCATCATATACATCTAGTTGATTGGGGATATCTGTAGTATATTAGTCACTGAAGCTTATTTTGCTTATATTATTGGGGCGTTTAGTCTAAGTAGAGACCAAGAATATGTTGTAACGGTCAGGTTCAGCGCAAACTCTTTTGCCCTGCCATTTGTGGTTTACCTTTCAACTACTCTTATTATTTCTTTTGATTTGTGAAAAAAAAAGAGAAAAAAAAGGGAAAAAGAAAAGAAAAGAGAAAAAAAAAAGAAGAATTATTTTTTTGGAGAGATTGAGGATTTGCACTCGGTCTCATTTATTATGATTTTTCAGTTGTGAAAAAAAAAAGAAAAAAAAAAGAAGTTTTTATCGTTATTACTTTTCCTCTGGGAAACAGTTAGGTATATAGGCTTTCTTTATGTTCTTTGTCCCTAGTGACAGTGGAGTTGTGAGGCGCAGTACTGGACACCTCGATGTGGAGACTCCCTTGGCGACTTAGTGGAAGAGGTGACATTGTAGGCGTTGAAGGCGGAAGGGTCGATATCATCTTTGCGACGGGATGAGCGAGATAGCGTTGCAGGCGCGAGTGGCGGAGGATGATAGGAGGCGATGGAGTTTGACTCGGGGTCACGATGCGAGGCGATGTCCCGTGTGTTGTGTTGTTCTGTGCTGTGTTTCATTTCGGCTGGAGAGTCGTTGCTAGCCGTTTTTCTTGTGTTTGGATCCTCTCCAGTCTGGCTTCTTGATGCGCGCCCATGTCTGGGTTGACGTTGATTTCCGGAGTAGTTTTACTCCAGTGTGCTGTCGATAGTGCGGCTGGATTTGATCACCGGCGCCTATCTTTGTTTCTCTCATGGTGAGACTGGAGTGATGACCAGTGGACCAGGAGAGTCTTCTTGCGGTGATGACAGGTTAGGTTGCCCATACCCATAGTCAGTAGGGCTAGAGCAGGGTAGTGCAGGGACAAGGGCAGGTGGAGTTGTGGCAGTGGTGCCGATTGGTGAGTCAGTCATCACGGAGGAGTTTGGGGGTTCCGTTGAAGACCGTGGAGGATTTACGCAGAGTGGGTTGAGGTATCGGCTACCTCATCCTAGCGCATCAGTGGTTGTAGAGGCGCGGAGTGTGGCAGATAGCGGATCTTTGGTGGTGATATCGTCTAGGGTCCCACACTCGTGGACTGGGGGCATGGACGGTATATACGGGGCCATGAAGGGCTCACGGCGGTACTCTGGTGCAGTGGGCACCATTGAGTTGGATGATTTCATCCAGGAGTTTGACACGTGGTGCGATATGCAGTTCTTGCGTAACCCCACGTTGTTTACACCCTTCTTTGCATGGAAGGGGTTGTTTCAGCATCTGGAGGGGCCTCCCATGGATGACTACCATGAGTTTGGGAGAGAGTATGCTGTGGAGATTGACGCATGGAGACGTCATTGGTCTCCAAACTATACGTCGATCACCCAGGGTGGTGTTGGTACCAGTGGAGGGGCGAGTGGTAGCATCACCGATGGTACTAGTGGAGCAGGTACCACCAGCGGTGCTGTTGGCGTTGCCAGCACGAGTGGAGAGACTACTTGCGTACCTTCGTTCAGCCCCATTCCTGAGTTCTTCAAGAGGTTGAGGAAGAACTATCAGGGGGTGAGGACGGAGAAGTTGAGGAGTCTCCAGGAGTTTGAGCGGAAGACTGGTGAGAGTCTTCGGGAGGCATACACTCGTATGCGGCGGTTGATCTCAGTTACTCACGGTGTAACTGAGGCACAGGCGGTCCAATATTGGTACAGGATACTGGACAGAGAGCTACGGCGGAGGGTTCGGGATGCTACTCTCTTGAGCGATGCGTCACCGACATTGGCCTATGTGTTTGCTCTTTCTGAGAAGATTGAGCTTAACATAGTGGAGGAGAGAGTGGTGACTTCTTCATTCGCTAGAGACGCAACCACTACCTCTCGGGTCTCGCAGACATCGTCTAGACCCTTTGGTGGTGGTAGTGGCGGGGGTCGCGGAGCGCAGACCCGACACCAGACAGCCGCTAGAGATACAGGGGCACGTGCACTAGTGCCGTCGTTTGCTAGCCAGCAGAAGGGACCAGCATGTTGGACATGTGGAGGGGATCATCGGCGGAGAGATTGTCCCCAGGAGGCCGGAGGTCAG